CAGAAACTCCAGTCAAACTTCAAAGGCTTCTTTACTATGAATACAATTAGACAAAAAACAGCTTAGCAAATGTTCAGGGAACAGGGAATGGAGAAGTGAATAGAGCAGGATTGGGGCAAGGAATGGGGCAGGAAATGTCACAGGAAATGGGGTAGGGAATCGAGCAGGGAATGGGGTAGGGAACAGTGTAGGGAATGTCACAGGGAACGGGGCAGTGAAAGACGCAGGGCATACAGAATGGAATGTCACAGCAAAGGCAGGGAATGGGGAAGGGAATCATAAAATTATACAGCACAGAAGGAGGCCATTCGGTCTATCGTGTCAGTGCCAGCTCTTTGAAAAGAGCTTCCAAATCAACACGCCCCCCGCGCTCTCCCCATAGCCCTGATCAACCCCACTCCCCCGCTCTCTCCCCATAGCCCTGATCAACCCCACTCCCTCGCTCTCTCCCCACAGCCCTGCAAACTTGTCTTCCTCAAATGATTATCTATTTCTCTATTAAAAGTTGTTATGGAATCAGTTCCCAACAGCCTTTCAGGCAATGCATTCCAGATCCCAACAACTCGTTGTGTGAAAACATTTCTTCTCACCTCCCCTCTGTTTCTTTTAATAACTATTATAAATTGGTCTCCTCAGATTACCGACCCACCCACCAGTGGGAATAGTTTCTCCTGTTCACCCTATCGAATCCCCTCATCATTTTGAAGACTTCTATAAAGTCTCCTCTTAACCTTCTCTGCCCCCAGGAGAATAATTCTGGCTTCTGTTTTCTGACTACCTTTTCTCGCTTAGTATCATCTGCAAACTTGGGAATTGTCCTCCCTATACCCAAGTCCAGGTCATTTATATAGATCACAAACAGCAGTGGCCCCAATACCGACCCCGGGGGGACACCACTGCACTGCCCTCCAGTCAGAAAAACAGCCGTTCACCACCACTCTCTGCTCTCTGTCTCCCAGACAGTTCTGTATCCGCTGCCACTGTCCCTTTAATACCGGGGGCTTCGATTTTGCTACAAGTCCCTTATGCGGCACTTTGTCAAACGCCTTTTGAAAATCCATACAAACTACATCACCTGCACTGCCTTCATCCGCCCTCTCCGTTACTGCATCAAAAACCTCTATCAGGTTTGTTAGACACGATTTGCCTTTAACAAACCCGTGTTGACTGTCCTTTATTAACCCATATTTTTCTAAGTTAAAGTGTATATTGTCTCGGATTATAGTCTCTAGAAGTTTCCCCACTCCTGACGTTAGGCACTGGCTGTAGTTCCCGGGTTTATCCTTCTGCCCCTTTTTGTACAGGGAGTAACATTTGAACCCTCCAGTCCTCTGGCACCATCCCGGTGTCCAAGGAGGATTGAAAGATTGTGGCCAGAGCCTCTGCTATTCCCACCCTGACTTCCCTCAGTAACCCTCAGGATGTATCCTGTCCGGACCAGGTGACTTATCTACCCTTGAGCACTGACAACCTTTTTAGTGCCTCCTCTCGGTTTATTCTTATCCAATTTCTCTCCCCTCTCCTCCAATACTGTGGCATTGGCTGCATCCTCTTCTTTTGTGAAGACAGATGCAAAGTCCTCATTCAGTACGTCAGCCGAGCCCTCTGCCTCCACAGGAAGATTTCCTCTTTGATCCCTAATTGGACCCACCCTACCTTTGACTGACCTTTTATTCTTTCTATGCTTATAAAATATAAAATACCTTAGGGTTCCCTTTTATGTTACCCGCTGATCTTTTCTCATACAATCTCTTTGTCCCTCTTATTTCCTTTTTCACTTCTCCTCTGTACTTCCTATATTCTATTTGATTATTTTCTATATTTTGGACATGACATTTATCATAGACTCATAGATTCACAGAATGTTACGGCACAGAAGGAGGCCATTCGGCCCATCGAGTCTGTGCGGCTCTTTGACAGAGCGTCACTTTCACTAATCCCAATCACCAGCTTTCTCCCCATAACCCTGCAAACCCGTCTTCTCCAGATACCTGTCCAGTTCTCTCTTAAACGCTGTTATCGAATCGGACTTCACTGCCCTTTCGGGCGGATCATTCCAAATTCCAACAACTCGCTGTTCGAATCATAAGTCTCCTTTTTCTGCTTTACTTTATTCCCAATTTCCTTACTCATCCAGGGAGGTTCGGATGCCCTCCTTTCCCCTTTGTGGGAATGTATTTGTTTTGTCCCTGAACTATCTCTTCCTTGAAGGCTTCCCATTGCTCATTAGTTATTTTACCTGTCAATCTCTCTTTCCAGTCCACCTTGGCTGGGTCGCTTTTTAACTCACTGAAATTAGCCTCTTCCAGTGAGTATCTATACCTTTGATGGTTCCTTGTCCCTTTCCATAAGTACTCTAAACCTAATGATGTTGTGAACACTGTTGTTCAGATGCTCTCCTACTGAAACTGCTCCACTTCATTCCCCAGAACGAGATCCAGCACTGCTTCCTTCCTCGTTGGGCTGGAAACATACTGATCCAGAAAATTATCCTGCAAACATTTCAGGAATCGTTCCCCCTCCTTGCCCTTTACGCTGTTATGTTGCCCGTCTATGTCAGGATAATTGAAGTCCCCCATTATCACTACTCTATTAGTTTTGCAGATTTGCTTGTCTATCTGCTTCCCACTATTTGGTGGTCTATAGTGTACACCTAAAACAGAGTAACAGCTTCTTTTTTGCTCCTTAACTCTTAACCAAATAGATTTTGTTTTTGGAACCTCGAGCACATTGTCCCATTCCAGGGCCGTAATCGTGTCTTTGATCAATATTGCCAGTCCCCCCTCTTCTTTTTCCTTCCCTATCCCTCCTGAATCCATTGCAGTCAGGAATATTCAGCTCTTCCTGCCCTTGTTTGAGCCAGGTCTCCGTTATTGCCGCTACATCATAACCCCATGTGGCAACTTGAGCCGCAGCTCACCAATCTTATTTGTCACACTCCGTGCATTTACGCACATGCACTCCAAGACCGAATGAGTCTGTTCTGCATTTCTCCCCCGTATAATCCCTCCTTTTTTCTGGATTACTCCTGATTACATTGCTATTCGTCTCTCCCAGCCCTCTGTGTAACTGGTTTGTCCTCTCTAATGCTACATCCTGATTCCCTTCCCCCCTCAAAATTAGTTTAAACCCTTCCCCACAGCACCAGTTAACCTCCCTGTGAGGACATTGGTCCCAGCCCTGTTTAGGTGTAACCCATCCACCTTGTACAGGTCCCCCCTGCCCCAGAACTGGTCCCAATGATCCGGGAACCTGAAGCCCTCCTTTCTGCACCATTTCTCCAGCCATTCATTCATATATTTGATCTGCTTTTTGATACGAAGCACTGGGAGTAACCCAGAGATCACCACCTTTGAGGTCCTACTCTTTAGCTGTTTCCCGATCTTCTGACACTCTCCCTGTAGGATCTCAGCCCTTTCTTTCCCTACGTCATGGATCTCAACATGGACCATGACTTCCGGATGTTCCCCTTCCCCCGTAGAATATTTTGCACCTGTTCCGTTATGTCTTCAACCCTGGCACCAGGGAGGCCACAGACCACGCGAGAGTCACGTCTTTGGTTGTAGAAACGCCCGTCTACTCCTTTCACCATTGTGTCCCCAAAGACAATTGCATTGCCATTGTTCCTGGTGTCCCCCTGTGCATCCATTTGCTTTTGACTCCCCTCCCCAGAGGTGTCATCACCCTGACCGGTATTCAGTACATTAGAACGGTTTGTAATTGCCACATTCTCAGGGGATTTCTGCACTGTCTGTCCCCTCGTCCTCTTATGCCGGGTGGTCACCCACTCACTCTCCTTCTGAACCCTCTATGGCTGTGGGTTGACGGTCAATCCATGAACTCTTCTTGAGATGGGTCTTCAAGTTGGCAAGGGAGGGGTCAAGACAGAGGGACTGTGTGGTGGGAGTTCCAGAGGGTGGGGGCAGAGTGGCGGAAGGCCCGCCCACCATTAGACGGGCAAGTGAGGCGGGGGACATGAAGGACATGAGCCCACTGAGCAGAGGGAGCGAACAGGATGGTAGGGGGTTAGGAGGTCGGAGAGGTATGGGGTAGCAAGACCGTGGAGGGCTTGGAGTCCTGTATCTCAGTGGTTAGAGCACTCGCTTTGCAAGTGAGAGACCTGAGTTCAATTCCAGGCAGAGGGTGAAACCTTGGGCAAGTTTCCTTACTCCACACAGAGCCTAATAATAATCCCTCCAAAACCAAAAACAATAATAAATTGGTCATTTTCAATCTACGACTGTTTGTGGGACATTGCTGTGCGCAATTGGCTGCTGCGCTCGCCCACAAATATACAGTCAATTCACTTTACAGTATATTCTGTGAAGCGCTTTGGGACGTCTAGAAGACGTGAAAAGCGCTATATCAAATGCCAGGATTATTATTATTTGAAGGTGAGGAAAAAGGATCTTGAACTATACCCTCCCTTGCCAACTTGAAGTGCGATGGGAAGCCAGTGGAGTTGGGTGAGGATGAGGGTGATAGGGTCACGGAACTTGGTGCGGGAGGGGACACGAGCTGCAGAGTTAGTTCTGGATGATCTGCAGCCTGTGGAGGGAGGAGTTAGGGAGACCGACAAGTTTGCATAGTCGAGCCTGGATGTAATGAAGGCATGTATGAGGGTCTCTGGGGTCCGCGGTGTGAGACAGTGCCGGAGCCGGGCGATGTTGCAGAGGTGGGGGAAGGCAGAGCAAGTCATGGCACAGATGTGGGGGAGAAAGGATAGTTGAGGGTCAAACAAGACACCAAGGTTCCGGACTGGCTTAGCAAGGTGAGTGAGCAACCATGGATGGTGATGCTGTCAGCGCCTGAGGTGCTATGTCAAATGCAATGATTATTATTATTACGTAGCCCTGATCCATACAGATCAGACATGCTTCTTCTAAGGTTGCTTTGGTGATGTACCAATGACTTTAATAATAATTAATTTTGATATGAACTTAAACCAAAGAGAAACAAGCTCAGAGGGTTGTCCATTACCTGAAGGACCAGAAACTTACCATCGCACCATCAGCCCATGTTCCATGAAGTTTTTGAGGTTGGGCAGGCTCTGCCGCAAATCTGGTGTTGACAGACCATGCTGATATCTTAGCTGGAAACACAAACACATTATGGCTTGTAGATTCAAACGTCACATTGAACTGCCCACCTCCAAGACCCGAATCAACCCCAGGTCAAATTGCACACATCTCATTCACAGTGCAACACCACCACCACCTTTGTATAGTGTCTTTCACATCAGGAGGACGTTCCAAGGTGCTGGATAGTCAGGGATTTGGACCCGAGCTGGGGGATGAGATCAGGGAGGGAGCGTGGGGGTCGGAGAGTGACCCAAAGCGCAGTCGAAAAGTAAGATCTTGAGAAGGGCCTTGAAGGAGGAAAGGAAGGGAGCGAGGCGAAAGAACTGTAGGATACAGTTCCAAAGGAGGAAGGCTGAAGGCCCAACTGTCGATGATGGACTGGTCTGGGCAGGGGATGTGGAGCACGCCAGCGGAGGGAGCGGACAGGCCAACCTGGGGTTAGCAGATCATAGAGGTAGGGAGGAGCAAGGCTATGGAGGGCTTTGAGGTCGAGGAATTTGAACTCTATCCTGGGGATGGGGAGCCAGTGGAGCTGGACATGGGTGGGACAATTGTGTAAATTGGCTGCCGCGTTCACCTATAAATACACAGTCACTACACTTTACAATAAAATCCTGTGAAGCACTTTGAGACGTCCTCTTGACGTGCAAGCCGCTGTATGAAATCCAAGGATTACAATGGAGTCTTGTAGTGTAGTGACTGTGTAGTCCTGTAGTGTAGTGGTTAGAGCACTCGCCTTGCAAAAGGACCTGGGTATGATTCCCATGTAAGGTGAAACCTTAGGCACGTTTCCCTCCTCTGCACATCTCTGTTTACCAGCAGTAAAGTAGGAACCTTGTTGTTAGTCAATTGGAGGATCACTTTCTTGGGGTAATCATCCCTCCAAAAAAAGCTGAATCCACAACTGTCTGTGGGACACTGTTGTGCCCAATTGGCTGCCATGCTTCGCCCACAAAATACACAGTCACTCCACCTTTATAGTATATTCTGTGAAGCGCTTTGAGAGGTCTCAACGACGCGATGAGGTGCTGCTTCAGAAGCAAGGGTTATTATTATATTATTATTTAATTGTAACTTGCTATGCAGCAAACCTGCAAGTCCATCCACACATTCTGCAGTTGCTCAGCTTTGACTGACAAATAACCTGCACCTCAAGACAGTCTCCTATTTATCACAACTTTCCACTTATTAATGCCAAGTGTATGACTCCCTTGCTGACCATTTTGAAAACAAAACACCCTCTTCTATAACATGTCCCTCGCTGTAACACACTTTTCTTATGGCTCCCAAAGGCAACGTTATGAAGAGTGGTTAGTGTACAATCATTATTTCAAACATAAGATTGGGGATTTTTTNGTAGCACGAAAGGCAAGCTCTGTTCTTTCAAAGAGTCAAAGTGTTCAAGATGTCCATTGAGCAATAAAAGATGGACATACATGTTTTACGTGTCTCATTTTTAAATTCCGGAGCCAAAGTAGCTCAAACAGCCAAACATCTGCAGCTGACAGCATAATTACAAACAGCAGGAGTGGAGTTTGCAGATCTGGGCACAAAGGAACCACACTGGCAAACTGTCTGTAAAGGCCTGATTCATATTACTGCACATCACATTGCAATGTAAGAACTTTGTATGGCGCTCATGTTAAAACAACTCAAAGCACTTAGAGTGAAGTGACAATCTTTTACAGCCAAACCCGCTTCCATTTTGTGTAGAACAAAGTCTCACAACCAGCCGTGAGATGATCGAACAATAATAATCCTTGCATTTGATATATTGCAAGCTGATGAATTTGCTCCGTCTATCCTAACATCCAGCAGCTCCCGATCGATGCCAAATCCAGTTGTTCAGAGAAAAGCTCAGTGCAGCAGTTACTGACATGTTCCTCGTGTAAAACAGCAATCTACCAGTTCCATCTGTTTATACACAGGCAGGCCCTCCTGATGGATTGCACTTTTAATGCAGATTATTCACCTTGAGCTGCTCCACTGATTTCCAACTCTGTCAAATATGGTCAAGCCGGGAATTGGCAATGTGCTGCCAATTCCTGGCTTGTATTATAAAACATTATAAAATACAGTTCAGGTAAACGGTCAGGAGTTTGCCGGTTTGGAAGGTGAGGGACTTGGAGTTAGACACGGTGGCCAAGCTTACCCCTGTGCTCCACACTGTGGTCACAGTGAGAGTCGGCAAACAGCCTCTGTGTTTTTAATAGACCTTCTCGTGATCACGCCAATCAAGTGGGCGATTTCAGCGAGCGAGTAGTAAGTGTGTGGAACAGGCTTCCTGGGGAGACGGTGGAAGCAGAAAGTGTTGATTCTTTCAAAAGCAAATGAGATAAGATTTCTATTGGGAAATAATACCTAGGGACACAGTGTATAGTTTGGGACATGACATCACAAGCAACTGCCAGGAAGGTGGAAGGTAAACTGGATGAACCTTGACTTTCTTTGGTCTAGCAATTCCTATGTTGTTATGGGGAGTGGGAGAGAAGTAAACACAGATTCCTAGGATTCTTCTTCTTATTTGTTATTTTTTATTATTTGGAGTTGAGGTACAGTTCAGCCATGATTGAATAGAATGGCAGAACAGGCTTAAGGGGCTGAATGGCCTCCTCCTGTTCCTATGTATCAGTGACCTCAGACATGAATGGCTGATAGGAAGCCTACAGACGACTTTCAAGTACAGGTCAGATTCTGTATGTGAGAGAGTGCAGCAGGAGAGAGACCTGGCTGGTTTATTAGATCAGAAGATCACTTTGGATGAAGAATGCCCTTCAGTTCATTTGATCTTATTCTTCCAGAATAGCCTCCCTTCCATCCGCTCATTACTGTCTCAAGATGGTTCTTCAATGAGTCCAGGTTGTTGGCCAAAAGCCATCAGTGCTGCTCATCTATTCACAGTGTATCAATCTCTACTGCTCAGGTACCAGCGCTCATGCTCTCACCGGCTCAGGCTCTTGCCTTTGTGTCAGAGGTTGTGGGTTGAAGCCTCACAATAGAGCTTTAGTTCACAATGAAGTGCGGACCTGGGAGAACATTATGTTTTGGGTGTTGCCATCAGATGAGATGTTAAACTAAGAACTCATTTAATAATAATAATAATCCTTGCATTTGATATAGCACCTTATTATGTTGTTCAGACATCTCAAAGAGCTTCACAGGATATACTGTATATTTTGTGGGCGAAACGCAGCAGCCAATTCCACACAGGCAATGTCCCACAAACAATCGTGGAATGAGCGACCAATTATTACCCCCAGAAAGCGACCTGCCAATCGACTAACAACTGGGTTTCTACTTACTGCTCGGTAAACAGAGATGTGTGGAGTAAGAAAACTTGCCTAAAGTTTTGCCTCGCCCGGGAATTGAACCCAGGTCCTCTGACCTACAAGGCGAGTGCTCTATCCAATACGCTACAGGATTCCACACTTAAACATTCAGGTGGATGTTAAATATTTAGTGACATTATTGAGAAGGGAAGTTTCTGGATGACAACCCTCCAGATCACCTATAGGCCCTAATACATAGAGGATAGTTAATGACTGGAAGAAGTTATTGGCTGAGGCTGGGACTCATTTGGGAGGACAGCCCGACAAGGATTCTGTGAGGATGAAATATTGAGAATTCTACCTGTTCAGGTGGACATTAAAGATCCCAAAGCACTATTCAAAAAGAGAAGGGAATTTCACGCAGCATCTTGGTCAACAATCCTCCAAATAAAATCAGTCATTCAATGCATGGCTGTTTTTGGGACATTGCTGTGTGCAAACTGGCTGCTGCATTCACTTACAAAATACAGACAGTAAACTTTCGTCCACAAAATACAGTCAATCCATTTTACAATATGTTCTTGTGAAGAGCTTTGATGTGATAAAGTGCTATATCAAATCAAAGGATTATTATTATTAAATCCTGTGAAGCGCTTTAAGAAGCCCTCCCGATGTGAAAGGCACTGTATCAAATGGTAAGGATTACTATTTTATTTTAAATGAGCTCAAAGGTATTCATTCAAACCACTCTTGTGATCTTGTGTAAGTTGCTGTGCAGAAAATGGCTGACACATTTGCTTATGAACACAGTCAGTCACTTGACAGCAATTACCTGCACAACTCAAAGTGGTGACCAAACTTTAAATGGGGTCAAAAAAGTAAAACCTGGTCACTATTTTAGGATGTGTCGAGGTAGTAGAACACGATATGGGTTTAGAATAGTAAAGAGCAAGTTCACTACAGATATTATTATTATTATTATATGAGAAGGGTTTTCTTTATGCAGAGGGGAATTAACAACTGGAACAGATTGCCAGCAAAGGTGGTGGAGGCCAGGACACTGGGACTCGTTTAAAAAGCAACATTAAGATAATAATAATCCTTGCATTTGATACAGCCTCTTATAATGTCATAGAGTGTCTCAAAGCTTCACAAAACATACAGTAAGTGGATTGGCTGTGTAACAACCGGGTTCCTACTGACTGCTGGTAAACAGAGGTGTGTGGAGTAAGGAAACTTGCCTAAGGTTTTGCCCTGACCGGGAATCAAACCCGGGACGTCTCGCTTGTGAGGCTCTAACCACTACTTTACAGGACTCCACCCGTGATATAAATAGACTGTGCTATGCCAGGGTCAGACTGGACAAGGACACACACCTCTGTTCACCAGCAGTAAGCAGGAACCTGGTTGTTTGTCAATTGGCAGTTTGCTTTCCGGGGTAATAATCCCTTCAGAAAAAAATAATAATAATTTGGTCACTCAATCCACACCTGTTTGTGGGACACTGCTGTGTGCAATTCATGGCTACGCTTCATCCACAAAATATACAGTCACTACACGTTACAGTATATTCTGTGAAGTTCACTGAGACGTCTCAACGACGTGATAAGGCACTGAATCAAATGCAGATTATTATTAAAAGCTCAGTCTGACATCTCACGTTGCCCTTTGGGTGAACCTTCCCAGTTGTATACAGCTTCTCGCAGTGGCTTTACTACAGGTTTGATCCCATAGAACATTAG